AGTAATGGGCTTAGGAAGTGTTGGTACCAGATTCACACATTCTAGTGATGAGAGCAATGTTGGATCCCTCCTTGCAACGCATTCAAAGCATTTTGCAAGCTCGACTAGCTTGCAAGAGCGGTTCGCGTAGGGCAAGTATGACTCAGTCTCGGAGATTTCCTGTTCCAATTTTTTCAGGATACATGTTTGGTACTCTTCATGGGAGCCACAAATCTTCAACAATAAACTCGTCGCGTCGTTTACACTGTACGTCGTCCATACTCCTTGTCTACATTTTTCCTCAATCAATGAAGTTGGAAGGTTCGCTAGGTAGGAAGAAGTGGCTTCTGATGGTAGCCAAAGTGTTTCTATTAAAGGCTTCGATTGCGGAGGACTGTACCGGATAATGGCGTGGGCTTTAGGCGATATCAACTCTAAACTGGACAATTGCACGATCGTTCTGAGTTTTCGGTTGAACACCTGGTTATGACGATGAGGATCATCGTTGTCGAGAACGCAGTAATGGCCAGTCCCAGGTTTGCTTACACGTATCCTGGATACTCTGGTGGCGATGCAGAGGTGCTTCGCAACTATGATGTATGACAGTTTCAAATTTGGACTAATCTGATAGCGATTCTGCATGCATGGGGCAAAAAAACAACATAAATCAATTATTAACAGGTACATTATTTAATTATTGCATCTATAAGGGGCAGTTTACAGAATTACATGGTTTGAACTAGTATTTTACTGGATAGAAATCACACATTTCACGCAATGATGGTCACTTTGCGTTTGCAAATCAGTAGTGTCATTAGGCAGTACACTTTATTGTGGTTTTGTAGTACATCAGTACTCTATTTCCAGCTTGACCATTCAGGATTGGTTTGATTTGTTATCTCTGACATTATTGTCCTCTCATCTGTCCTCATCACTTTTCCAAGAAACTTTAGACAAATGGTCATGAAATCTAGAGACGCATAATGATAGCCGCCTCGATGTCCTTGATGAACCCTTGAAATGAACAAAATTCAGCTTTTCCAGTATAATCCTTCTAAACTATAACTAATGGTGTGATGGTAAAAAAACAAAACAAAAAAAGCTCCCAAGCGGAAAAATGGCACATGGCGCATGATCACAAAAGGCGTGATAGTCCTCATATCATTTGAGAGATGTGATATCTACAATATGTAGAATCCGGCAAGGGAGGGGGAGAGGGTGGAGGTAAGAAAACTCTCAAGCAAAAAACGGCAACAGCCACATGATTACAATAGTGTTGACAGATCATATTAATATTATGAAATAACCCAATGGCAATATGCCGATCGAGGGGTTCGTTGATGGGTTTATATGATGTGGCTGGGAGCAGAACTTTATCAAAGTCTCCACAACTATCTAACCAGATGTAGCAATGAGCAGAGATGATGTACTGGGCATCCTGGACACGTTTTGTATCTCAGGGCTGTACACCAGTAGCTAACTTCAAATTCCCCATGACATAGCTCACCATATCACGTTATTTATGGTCGTCACTCAGAAGAGTCAAGTTGAGCGAGCTTTTAATCCCTTGTTGTAAGGCCATATTACATCACTGTATGATTGCTTCCCGACCCCATGTCTCACCCCTAAGATGCATGTATGAGGTGCTGCATCACCCGCCGAAATTAATAATAAAATAATAAAAAGAGTACGAGGTGATTCGTCGTTATTAACACGAAAGAAAAAGCCTTCTGTAGGGTTCGAGGTGCTAATCTTTCCATTTCTTTCTTGGAGGATGTAATACTGATGTCCGTAGATTGCATTGGTGGGTTTTGTATTCTCATTCTCCTTCGTGTTTGGAGGCAGGTGACAATTGAAAAAAGGCTATATTTCCTCAATACTGTTTTGTGCGGTTATTTCTCAACCTCATAGCAAGGGTACATTAAACAAGAGTATGCAACTGTGATCTCTTTTCTATGGGGCAGATGCGCAGCGCGCTGCCTTCACGAGGGCTTAATTTCATCATTCAGCTGCAGTCCGGACACTGCGGGAAATCAATCATCGCACTTTCCCTCTGGTTTGAAATGAACTTTTGTGCGGAACTGGAGTTCATGCATCAAAATTAATTTTAGAAATTGGATAGGTACTGGAACGAATCAGGCAAAACGATTGGGCTTGTACGAGAAATTGTACGTTTAGTACATGCTTTCAGAGCGTGATGGAGGCAAATTGCGTAATGAAGACAGCGCGGCGCGCATCCACCCATAACCACAGTGGCATACTCTTGTTTATGCACTCTTGATCATAGTAATAGGCTTTAGCAGCACAATTTTAATTCAGTTTTCAAAAGAAAGGGACCCTACATATCCAGGGTGGTCCAGCAAGACTGGAACAATATCATGTTGATCCAAATACAAGAATTCAAGTTTCCATTGCTATCAGGTTCGGCCTCATTTTCTCTGTGCTGCGCTGATGAGTTCAAAAAGAACGAAACAGCATGCTGTCCGCAGATTGAGTATTTCGCTCCTGCTCTTGTAGCAGTTGAGCACTCTTGCGTGGGGTAGTGCCTTTGCTGTTTGCATTATGCAGAGCTCACTGACTTGTCAGTTTGAGCACTCTGGCAAGGTACGTTCGGGCCTGATTGGAAATTTTTATTTCCATTGCTATCAGGTTCGGCCTCATTTTCTCTGTGCTGCGCTGATGAGTTCAAAAAGAACGAAACAGCATGCTGTCCGCAGATTGAGAATTCAAGTTTGTATAGATACAGGTGTTTCACCATGATTGCATATGCAATTGTGGTCTACATCGGTTAGTGAATTCAGTAATTGCCAATGTTTGGCAATAGCCAGGGTCAAAACACCGACTCCTTTCCAGGTATCGCTTCTAGTATGAAGCTATCACATGCTTCCTCCTCAGCTAAATGTGCTTGTCACTGGAGGTTGAAGCCAGCGCCTAAGGATTGTTATACTCTATATTATAGTAAAAATCGCCCCTATGCAGACTGAAAGCTCTAACAATGTGATTTTCTAAAGAATTATCAGTCTCATTTTTGTAGGCAAAATGGACAGCACATTGGTAATGCCAATAGCAAAAAGAAATTTCACGTGACTTTTTGCAGGCGCTGGCAATGAGATATATTACCGATTTGTTAAGAAATGACGCAATGATAAAAAAGACGAATACCTTGTACCATCGGTCAGCTCACATCCGTATCAAATGTTCGATATATTTTCGTGTCACTAATAGGATTCGCAAAGCCTGTGATATAGTCGCAAGTTACCGGAAGCCATCAATATCAAAGAGGCCTGGCTGTCAGCCCAAAGTCGATCTCTAAAAACAAGATTGGAAACAGCTAGTCAAAGAGAAGAAGGAAGGACTGTCTCCAACAGGAAAGTCTCCCCGAACTCCATCGGGCAATATATTATTGAAACCGAGTTTGAAGTCGAGTTTCGGAAAAGAAGCATCACTCACCAGACACAGACGCGTGAATGTGTTTTCATTATGCAGCAGCTCCCGGACGCCTTGCGTAACACCACATAGCTGAAAAATGTCAGCAAGTGACAACAAAGGGAATACTGCTGCTTCCCACACGTCCAAAAGAACACTGTTCAGTACAGGCTCGACTGACTCTTGCTCCATTTCTTTTTGCTGATCTTCAGTTCAGTTATATTCAAGAAACCTGTTATATCAGTGACTGATGTCTCTTGCGACAGCTCTTCTTCGGGGCTTCTACAATGTCTTCGGCGACAGCAAGGTTTCAGTCTCTGCAACTGATTTGCAGAGAATCAACTGACTTTTTGCAAGCTGGAAAGAACTGACTTGTACCTAGTACGACTCGTACATTATACTTGTGACAGTGAGCTACGTAGTAAGCAATGAAGGGCACAAACGTGATTTCCCTACGCCTATGATTAGATACCTGTCTCAGTAGGAGTTTTGTCACATCGTCATGAACCTTTATCCCCAGAGCTCGCTCATCCGATACACAAAGCTCAGTCTAAAGTCGAAGTACTCCAACAAAGGTCTAATAGTACATAACAGTTGGTTGTCTCCAATGTGCCTTTTCTGAAATGTCTACATGCAGAGCAGGGAACTGCTACCTAAGTGCCTGTCCACAATATGTAAAAAAAACGACGTGCTGATTCAAGGTACGTGACGTACACGGTACTCTGTCCACACTGCACTCTCTCTCTCTCTCTCTCTCGAGTGTAGTACCACTCCTTGCACAGTCAGAACATGTTCAATGTTATCTCTACAATGGTGTGCAGTTGCAATTTTGGCCGTACCGATATTACACAAGTGACATTGGTTGTAGCGTGTAGATCTGGCAAGGACTCCCTGGCTTGGTCTAGACCTAACCAGCGATGGCAGCACTGATGTGTAGATCAGGCAAGGACTTCCTGGCTTGATCGAGACCTAACCAGTGATGGCTGCACTGCCGCCGGGCTCAAGGAACTCTGTTCCAGGTACAGAAATGTGAACACACTCTGGCGACAGCGCAGCGGCAAGGTCAACCCGGCTATAGCATCGCTTGATGAACCAGTGGTGGTGGAGGCCGGCGTGTTTTTCTGTAAAAATCCCTGGCTTTGGCCTTCAGGTTGTCCATTTTGTTCATCGCAACATGGTTCTACTTCCAATTCAAACAGTTCAAATACTCGTTCAAGTTGGCGGGGTATTTTTTACTCTCTCTCTCTCTCTCTCTCTCTCTCTCTCTCTCTCTCTCTCTCTCTCTCTCTCTCTCTCTCTCTCTCTCTCTCTCTCTCTCTCTCTCTCTCTCTCTACTGCATATTCCTACCCCGGGATATGTCTGCATGTCCAGCCGTGACTGTCTTAATGCCGCCACATTGTAATCGCTGGAGCGGACGTGTGGCATTGTGAAACCATAACATATACTTATGCTCAATGTTACGAATTCACGAAAACGTCTAATGCACTCATTATTTTCTTGTCGACCTGGCTGGATGTTTAGTTGATCATTAGAAACTAGGAATGTGAAGCACTTACAATCAATCATTTTATTGGAAAGTAGCACCCTACGGACCTCCGGCGTTGAATAGTAGAGCGAAACAGGAAACAAACACAACAATCAGAGCACAGTACGTTTTATCTTTGAAAAAACTACGAGAAAATGAAAAAATCAAGTACAATCCAATTTGCAATACGCAAAAACAAAAAAATGGTCAGGAGTACCTTATGGCAAGAATTATTAGATACTCGGATATGTAGCACTTACAATCAGTCATTTTATTGGACGTTAGCGCCCAAAGAATCTCCGGCGTTGGATAATAGAGAGAAACAGGAAACAACACACAACAATGAGAGTACAGTACGTTTTAACTTTGAAAAACTGCGAGAAAAGGAAAAATCAAGTACAATCCAATTAACAATACACGAAATTAACCAAACACGGTCAGAAGTAACTAATGGCAAGAATGTCTGATCGCAATGCTTTATAGGCTATGGACAAGTAGTGTATGTACATGTAGGTCCAACAACAGCAGAAAAACAACCTCCACACCTACAACAGAACGCAGCAAGGTGCACGAGCGCAGCAACACACTTCATGGGGCGCACCGTCAACCACTTCGCTCGACGCACTGTCACACACTTTGCGGGTCGCACTGTCAACAGTCTTCTTGCCACACTGTTCCATGGCATTCAGCAATTCCTCTTTTCTCAGTTCCTGCGACATTGGTATTGTGGAAAGTAGGTAGCTTCCCAAGTCACGGTAGAGAACCTCCTGACTGGGACGACTAGAGTGGGGCAGACTGTGCCAGAGCTCGTCGTACTCCATGACAGCAGCGAAGTAATCCTCAAACTGCCATACACGTAAGCGCCCCCTGATCAGTAGCTTGAGCACTGAGTGACACTCTGCTAGCTTTACTGTGAAGTCAATCCAATTCTGAGTTGCCAAAACGTCATCGCTGAGAAAGTCACTCTTATCATTCTTGATTAATATATAGTCGTATGGGTTATAGATCCACCGAGTAGTAATGTGCTGAGGAAGTGTTGGTACCAGGTTCTCACATTTTAGTGACGAGAGCAATGTTGGATCTCTCCTTGCTACGCATTCAAAGCATTTTGCAAGCTCGACTAGCTTACCAGAGCGGTTCGCGTAGGGCAAGCACGACTCAATCCTCGGACTATCTTGTTCCATTTTTTTCAGGATACATGTTTGGTACTCTTCATGGGAGCCACAAATCTTCAGCAACAGACTCGTCGCGTCGTTTAAACTGTGCATCGTCCTTTCTCCTAGTCGACATTTTTCCTCAATCAATGAAGTTGGAAGGTTGAGTAGGAAGGAAGAAGTGTTTTTTGATGGTAGCCAAAGTTCTTTTATTAAAGGCTTCACAAGCGGAGGGCTGCACCGGATAAGGGTATTGGAATTTGGCGACATCAACTCTAGGCTGGCCAACTGCACCATCGTTCTGAGTTTTTGGTTGAACACCCAGGCATGATGATGAGGATCATAGCAGTCGACAACTGGCACAGTCCAGTGATGGTCAGCCCCATTTTTGCTTCTATGTATGCTGGATACTCTGGTGGCGATGGAGAGGTGCTTCGCAACTAATATGAACGACAGTTTCAAATTTGGACTAATCTGATAGCGATTCTGCATGCATGGGGCAAAACAAACAACAGCATAAATAAATGATGAACAGACACAGTATAAATTAATACATGTTTAAGCGGCAGTTTTATAGGATTACATGGTTTGAATTGGTATGTTACTGGAAAAAAGAAGAACATTTCACGCAATGATGGTCACGTTGTGTTTGCAAACAGTAGTGTTCTTAGGCAGTACACTTTATTATGGTTTTGTAGTACATCAGTTTTCTGCTTAATTTTAGAGGCTTCCCGTGAGATTCATCATGATGCCTGTGGTGAATCCTGGCAATGAGCAAATTTTGGTTTTACCAGTAAAATCCTTGGGATGAGATGGATACTGAACCATAGACAATAGTGTACTGGAATCTGTTGAATGACCAACTCTCTGCTTACTTTGACATCTTTCTTGTCTACCCAGAAACGTGTCAATATTTGATGTGATTTTATCCATATAAAGTAGGTGGAAGCAGAACAATCTAAGCAGATGTAGCAATGAGTAGAGATGATGTTCTGTGCATCCTGGACAAGCGCTGTAGCTCAGGGTCTGTGCACTATTTGTAGCGTCTTTCGAGTACTTCAGTCTGTAGTAGCTGACTTCAAAATCCCCATGTCATAGCTCACCCTATCACGGTATTGGTGGTCATCACTCAGAAGAGTCGAGCCGAGCGAACCTTTAATCCCTTGTTGTAAGGCCGGTTTACATCATTGTATGATCACTTCCCGGCCCCATGTCTCACCCCTAATATGGCACGAACACGGTGTTGGGAGGCAGGTGGCAATTGAAAAAGTAAATTTTTAAACATTTTTGTGTGGTTATTCCTTAACATTAAAGTATTAGGATATAGCAGTACAATTTCAATTCAGTGTCCAAAAGAAAGAGATCCTACATATCCAGGGTGGTCTAGCAAGACCGGATCAAGATCATGTTGATCCAAATATAAGCCATTCAAGTTTGCATAGCAACAGGTGTATTATCAACATGATTGAATATGCAATTGTGGTCAACATCGGTTTATGAATTCAGTAATTGCCAATGTTTGGTCATTGCCTGAGCCAAAACACCGACTCCTTCCCAAGCGTCGCTTCTAGTATGAAGCTATAACACGCTTCCTCCACAGCTAAATCTGCTTTCACTGGAGGTTGAAACCAGCGGCTATGGACTTTTTATACTCTATATTATCGTAAAAATCGCGCACATGCAGACTGAAAGCTCTGACAATGTCACTTGCTAAAGAACTATCAGTCTCAATTTTGTAGGCCAAATGCACAGCACATTGGCAAAGGGAATAGCACAAAGAAATTTCCCCTGATTTTTCGCAGGCGCTTGCAATGAGATAATTTACCGATTTGTGGAGAAATGACGAAGCGTTAAAAGATGACGAATCACCTCGTACCATCGGTCAGCTCACATGCTTGTTACATGTTTAATATATTCACGGGTCACTAATAGGATTCGTAAAGCCTGGGATATAGTCGCAAGTTACCGGAAGCCATCAATTTCAAAGAGGCCTGTCACCTGAAAGTCTATCTCTAAAAATACAAGATCGGAAACAGCTGTAGAAAGAGAAGAAGGAAGGACTGTCTCCAACAGGAACGTCTTTCCGAACTCCATAGAGCAATACTTTTGTTTTTGAAACCGAGTTTCAGAAAATAAACATCACTCACCTGACATAGACGCCTGAATGTGTTTTCAGTATGCAGCAGGTTCCGGACGTGTCTCGTAACACCGCATAGCTGGAAGATGTCCACAAGTGACAAGAAAGGTAATACTGCTGCTTCCCACACGTCAAAGATAACACTGTTCAGTCCATGGGTGACTAACTCTTGCTCCATTGTTGCTTTTCAGATCTTCAGTTCAGCTACATGCAAGGAGCCTGTTATTTTAGTGACGGATGTATCTTGCGACAGTTCTTCTTGCGGGCATCTACAATCTCTTCGACAACAGCAAGTTTGCAGTCTCTGCAACTGATTTGCAGAGAATCAACTGACTTTTGCAAGCTGGAAGGAACTGACTTGTACCTAGTACGACTCGTACGTATACTTGTGACAGTGAGCTACCTAGTAAGAAAGGAAGGGCACATACGTGATTGCCCAACGGGTATGATTAGATGCCTGTTGTATCATAATTATTATCGTCATTAACCTTTATCCCTAGTGATTGTCGCTGATACGATACATGTAACTCAGGCTAAAGTCTAAGTACTCCAACAGAGGCCCAATTATACCTAACAGTTGGTTGTCTCCAATGCGCCTTTTCGGCAACGTCTACTTGTAGAGCAGGGAACCGCGACCTAACCGGCCTGTCCTGATTTTTATGTACATGAAAAGGACGTGTCTATTCAAGGTACATGAGTCATGATGACGTGTCTGTTCTAGGTACATGAGTCATGATGACGTGTCTATTCTAGGTACATGAGTCATGATGACGTGCATGCGGTGCTACATGTATGTTCACTCTCTCTCCCTCTCTCTCTCACTCTCACTCTCACTCTCTCTCTCTCTCTCTCTCTCTCTCTCTCTCTCTCTCTCTCTCTCTCTCCCTCGAGTGTAGTGCCACTACGTGTACTGTCAGTACCTGTTCATTGTTGTTTCTACAATGATGTGCAGTTGCACTTTAGGCAGTCCCGGTATTGCACAAGTGACAACGGTTTGCAGTGTGTAGATCAGGCAAGGACTCCCTGTCTTGGTCTAGACCTAACCAGCGATGGCAGCTATGACGCCGAGCTCAAGGAATTCTGTTCCATGTACAGACATTTTGGCCGAACTCGGGCGACAGCGCAACGTCAAGGACGAGGCCGGCTATAGCTTCGCTTGATGAACCACTGGGGGTGGTGGCCGCCGTGTATTTCCAATTACCGTCCCTGGTTTTGGCTTTCAGGTTGTCCGTTTTATTCATTGCAACAGCGTTCTTCTTCCTCTACAAACAGTCCCAAGTACTCGTTCAAATTTTCAGGGAATTATTTCTCTCTCTACTACATATTCCTCTTCATCATACCCCGGGATATCTCTGCATGACCAGCCGCGACTATATTATTGCCGCCCTTTTATCGTCGCTGAAACGGACGTGTGGCATTAGGAAACCTCCGAAGCAAAAACAAAGGAATCAGCATGAAACAGCCCGAAAAAACTCCATCGACTCTCACACAACAACCACTACGACAACAGCACGTACATGAGAAACGTGCTTTGTACAGGGGTCCGAGACTCACGTTCCTATTGAATCCCACGTTCCCCGTTTTCGGCCATCCTTCGTCACTCACCTCGGCAACAAGCTTGTTTACAGCGTTTTTGGGTTTCTACCTAGTCTGGACTGGCCAAACCTATACACCCGCCAGCGTGGTGACAAAACCACTCCTAACTACAGTGAAACCTGTGACTAACGACCACCACTTGGGTTCAGAGAAAGTGGTCTTTAGTGGCAGGTGGTCCTTTGTTCGAGGCTTGCACCGCATAACCATGTGAGACCGTCTGTGCCTGGTGAAGTGATCGTTAGTACCAGGCTGGTCGCTAGTCACGGGGTTTTTTAGTTACAGTTTTACTGCAATCGCCGGAAATTCCCATTCTGTACACATCATTCTCTTCTCGCCGTGGCTGGCTGCTCGATCGATCTTGAGATAGCTCTAATAGTCCATCATTGCTGGGAAAACTGGCACCCAACGTTTCTCGCATGTTAGATAATAGAGAGAAACAGGAAACATACATATACATATTCCGACGAACTGGCTTTGCCGCGTCCAGCAGAGCTGGCTCGAAAAGAAAAAGAAAGAAAATTATTAAAGGATTCAGTAATCTAGAATTGTGATCAACGTTATATGTTTTTTTATTTTTATTTATTTTTTTACTACAAAGCACTGGCCAGCAACATAAAAGGGGAGGTAGACAAAATTGGAGAAGCGAACATTGACAACGCAGAGGAGCCCGAAATGCGTGCCGATGAGGTAGGTCAACCTCCCCCGACCTAGTGGTCTCGGGTTCAACAGTTGGTCTACGCATCAGGAAGGGGAAATGGACAGAGAAAGGGAGAATGAGCATGAGGAGCTTCCCAGGGGAGGAAGAGTTAGAGAGAGAGAAACAGAAAATGATAATAGTAGAGACAACCGGTTATTCTCAGTGCTTGTGGACGTCAGTGGCCGGTAGCCAATTGGTCCGGCGGAGGTGATGGTAGGCCTTGGTCTTGAATGTCGGCAATTACGTGAGAGTTGGGCGTTCGGCGAGGATTGGGGCAGGCAGTGTGTTCCAGCTCTCCAGGACAAAGTATGTACATGTATGTCTGGTGATCAGATGATCCTAGAACCAAAGCAGTGACAGCTTGTCTGCAGGCTAGTTGATGAACTTCTTGCACATGATCCCTAACATAGTTTACACCTTTCATTGCCCGGATAATGTTGCCGGGTTTTGTTGTGATGGTTGTTTGTTGCTCTGCCGTTGTTGTTACTATGAAGCAATGCCATCAGTTACTCCTGGAAATTTGAGGCTTTTCCGAATTTTAGCCTATTGGATTGTATTTGATCTTTCGTTTTTCTCTCTTAGTATTGCGATGTACAAAGTAATGCACATAAAGTGCTGGATTCCTCTTTCTGCTTGTAGGTGCTGTTTCAGCCTGGTCCTGGTTCATCAATGGATCGGCGTCTACTTCAGTGTCGCTACCAGCCTAGTTAACGACGCTATCTTCCGAGCTAAAGGCACAACGACAAAACTCCTCTTCGGCTGTTCGATATTCACTCTGCGTCTCCCCCATGGCTCTTTATGTTTTAAACCAAATATTTTCCTTTTCATAAATGCTTGTTTCATTTTTGTCCAACAGCATCGATTGGACACATGTACTGGTACAAGTACATTGACCTGACTACATAGGCATGGCTACATCAAATGCCACAATGTGTTAAGTGTTTGCACAAAGCGGTCTACAATCCAGTAACACGATGAGTGTTATAGTTACGTACATGTACCTCATAAGTGTAGCGGAATTTTGC